CTGAAGGATGACGGAGGGAGAAGTAGATATTTTCCTTTAGCATTCTTGCACCAAGTTTGTTTGGGTGGAGGCCATCCAGTTTAAACAGTTGTCTATGGCCCCAGAAAAAATTGAAATTGTCGATGAAGTTGACTCCTTTTATATTGCAAGATCGTTGTAGCCATGTGTTCAGCCCAAGCAACTGTGAAAACATGTTAGTTCCTGTTGCTGGGAGTGGTCCACTGATGAACGACTGAACTTTAAGTCCTTGAAGTGTTTCAAAGAGTTCACTGAAATCCTTTTTAAGGAGTTCTGACTGCTCTTTCCAAATATCATTCTTCCTCACATGGATGATGATTCAATTTGCAGTCTTGTGCTTCATTAGAATGTTCCGGAGTTCCCTGTTCACATCAGAGACGGTTGCTTGATGAAAGCAGCATGTTGTTGTATTTCTGCTACTGATGTTTCTGATAATGGAGTCGCCCACTATCAGTGTCCTGGGCTCGGCTGCGCTCTGAGCTGAAAGCCGCTGTCTGCTCGACCTTGAGCGCCTGTTAGTAGCGATGTTCGCTGCTGGCAGATCCGATTCATGTTTAACCGCATTTGGGGATTCCTCACCCACATTCATTAAAACTTCAAATCGGTTTTCAAGATGTATAGGAGGTGGTAGAATACCAGTGTTTGCAAGCCTTGTCCTAGCCGTATCTGGGGTAGAGGATGCTACCACAGCAATACGAGATACTCGTGACAATCTGATGTCTCGAGTGCCTTTGGGTCTCGCTCCCTGTTTGTGCCATCGATTAGTATGTCGATCAGTTTCGGCTAGTTGCTCTACACTTGGTATAAACTGACTCACCGGCTGTATGCTGAGGGGGTCTGTGATGACGGTCTGCTGAGAGTTCTGCCTGTTTTGGAATTCCAGCAAGTAACTTTGTTTCAAGAACCACAATCCTTGGTAGAAGTTTGCAGCAGTTTATGCAACAAGTAGATTCAACAGGAGACATTTTCTCTCTCATCTGTTTGAATGTAGACAGCTGTGCTTTCCCTTCTCCGGAATGTAAGCTGCTGGCAGTGGGAGGCAAAAGTCCCCTTTTTTTGTAGTATTATTCCAGTCCCAAAGAGTTTTTAGTTTTAGTGTTTGTGCCAAAAATGTGTTGTTTGAGCACTGTGCTGTTGTAGTATTATTCCAGTCCCAAAGAGTTTTTAGTTTTAGTGTTTGTGCCAAAAATGTGTTGTTCAGCACTGTGCTGATCTGCTGAAGTAAAAATCTTAGAAAAATCTGAGAAAAGTACAGAAATAGGGAGCAAAGCGCAGCGCAGTAAGCAAGAAAGACCTCTAAGAGAGGCCGCTAAGAAAATCTTAGCATGTGTCTAATGTACTAATTCCACATCCGATCTTACAGAGTTAAACTTAAGCAGGACTGTCTAAGTTAACATATTAAATAAAGATTTAAATATGTTATTGGTAAATTATCTTCTTCATGAACTATAAATGAAGATAGGACATTTAACAAAAATCATCTGCAATCATCAACAAGTATAAAATATCACAGATGAGCAAAGCACACCATCATTTGTGCAAACACTGGAGATCAACAGTTAAAAACATGTTACACACTGTGGGATAATTTATATATGAATATTATCAAAGGAATAAAATAAACAGATTCTGTATTAATCTGTTTATTTTATTCCTTTGATAATGTTTTCTTGAAGAGTGTTGTGTTGAATTATTTATTTTGATTTTTTAATGGCATTACAGCAGCATCACCATCAATAACAGTTAGCTGCTTTCTATGTGAATATCTCTTAAGATATAATTTATTTCTGTGATCAAAGCTGTATTTTCAGCATCATTACTCCAGTCTTCAGTGTCACATGATCCTTCAGAAGTCATTCTAATATGTTGATTTACTGCTCAATTATCAATTATTATTGTGAATATGTGTTTTTTCCCCTAATATTTATAGCAAATAAATATCGGAGTCGATTAGCAGCTTTAATAGTGACATTATGAAGCGTGTTCTCTGACCTCAGCAGATCCGTCCATGTTAAATTTGGCCTCCTGGATCTTCATGCCCCTCTGCAAGTCACTAACGAAACACGTCCGCACTAAATACAGACACACCGACAACACAGTTAGTTGTCCAAGTCAACATGAAATGCTGTTTGCAACCCAATTTTCATTTTACAGATTAGTCAAGAGTAATGTAGAGCGAGACATGATTTTATGCATGAGGAAGCATCTCTATATGACGTACCTTTGATATCCTCCACAACTTCCTCTGGAATAGAGCCTGTGAAAAAGACCAATAGATAATCAAACGCTAAGCAGTATTAACCCTATAAACCTTCTGTATCATATTGATATATACATTTCTAAGGCTCTAAACTTCACTCGATCTCCTGCTTGTCTTCTGTCTCTGATTGAGAGTTTAGAGTGTTTTATCCAGTCAAAGCTCTTTTAGTGTAATTGTACAAACGTCCAGCTTCAGCTCGAGCTTCATGTGTCTTTCTGCTGTCAAATCTTGACTGATTTTGATCAAGTAAGCATCAGAATAACTGCAGTAATATCTCCAGATGAACACTTACTGGACTGAAGCAGCTCAGCTTTACTTGATTCTCCATCAATCATGTTTTAGAGTCTCAAATCTGATCCTCAGGATCTTTTGAGGAGCGTTTGTTTCCAGAAGCTTTACTTTCACTGTTCCTCAGCGGAGGAATGATCTTCACAAGCCTCCAGAACATCTCACATCTTCTGAGGAGCGTTTATTTCTTCATCTCTCAATCATTGCATTATATGTTTGGATCATTTCAATCTCATCTTACTGAGACAGATTACTGGAGATACAAAGCGGCGACTGATATTTATAGCATTTAATGTCAGTATCTGCTCTACTGTTATAAAGATCTCATTGATTTACAGCACAAACATCAGAATTTCATCATAGAAATATCAGCATCTGCAGCAAATTCATATTCCTTTGAATGAAACTGAGCTGTTTTTCCTCCATATTCTCACTCTATTAGACTATATGAGCCATAAAAGCCTGATGCATCAAATATGATGCTCAACAAAACGTGTGATGTGATGGATGTGTGTCGGTCTTACTGACGACGGTGGGCAGACTGAGGCCGGCGCTAGAGTCGGTGTCTAGTGTGCATTGCTCACTCAGCAGACTGTGCAACTCCCTACAGAGGAACAAGAGCACTGAGAACACAAGCGTCATGATCCTACAGACTCTTTTCATGCAATACTCCACACAGACTTACCTATGAATGGCTTTTCCTCCCATCGGCAGAGCTTCCCACGCAGACAGGATCGGAATGCCTTCATAGATCTAGTGCACTGTTAAAGCCATCTATAACCACTTCAAACCACAGATAATATTGTGTGTAAACACAACAAGTGCAAACAAACATGCTTTTCAATCACTCAGACAAGGAATATTAATTAAAGGAATAGTTCACCCAAAAATGAAAGTGCGCTCACCCTCAGGCCGTTTGTTTCTTCATCAGATCTGGAGAAATTGCATCAGTGTCTCACTGCAAGTGAATGGGTGCCGTCAGAATGAGAGTCCAAACAGCTGATAAAAACATCACAATAATCCACAAGTAATCCACAGCACTCCAGTCCATCAGTTCAAGGTTATTTTCGTAAACGAAAACTAAAACTAATACTAAAACGATTGATGAAAAAAAATTTCGTAAACTGAAATAAAATAAAAAAGTCAAAATAATAGAAAAACTAAAACGAAACTGAACTAACAACAGTTATTGAAAAACTAACTGAAATAAAATTATAATTATCAAAAATAAATAATCGTTTTCATAATCATTACATTCTCACCCCTTGGCGGAAAAATATACGAGCTGTGTGGAGGTTTAGGGAAATAGCTACCTGTAACGCAAAGCAGTTTAAACGGGTCCTGTTTGGTAAACGTGCACCAGCAGTACTTAACAGAACACTCGACCCATTATCTATTATCAGCACTCGCATTAAATCTATTACATCAGGTAAGCAAGATTATTTATTTCCTCATGTAACACAAGCAATCAAACAACATTAGGCATTCTAAGTTGGTGCTTTGAAGAAAAACAGACATGCAGCGCAACATGATAATTAACAGAAAAAAAGATGAGAACGCATCCTTTCTGAAAACAACACAACACTTTTGCCTAGCATCTTGTGATCACTCTGCCAGGCTTTTGAACAAATGTGCATTGGCTAAATCACATCATGCACACGCTTATAATTCTTCATAAATGAAAAGAACATTCAAAGCCTTTACTGTTAAATGCGATTGCCGTTATTATTGAATTTCATCAGTCCCAGTTTTGATTGATGCACGGCTGTTCACGGAAAAGTGAGCAAGACACTGAATGAAACTAATAAAAACTAAACTGAATTTTATAGCAAATTTGAAAATGACATTAAAATAAAACGAATTTAAAAATTCAAAACTTGCATCAGTTAACATCTGGAGAAGACCAAAGCTGAAGCAAATCCAGCATTAAGACATTTTTAACAAAAATACGAGTCCATAATCCATAATAACGCTTCCTCCAGTGAAAAAGTGTTCTGGTGTGAATCAGGAGAGAAATCTGCACAGATCAAGCAGCGTTTAAACAGCTCTAAACACATATGTGGCTGGATTTTGATGTGAGAGACAACAGCAGATGCACTTTTTCACTGGAGGAAGTGTTATTATGTATTATGGACTCGTATTTCAGTTAAAATGCTGGATTTGTTTCAGCTTTTGTCTTCTCCAGATGTTAACCGATGGACTGGAGTGCTGTGGATTACTTGTGGATCATTGTGATGTTTTTATCAGCTGTTTGGACTCTCCTTCTGACGGCACCCATTCACTTGCAGTGAGACAGTAATGCAATTTCTCCAAATCTGATGAAGAAACAAACTCATCCTAATCTCGGATGACCAGAGGGTGAGCACATTTTCTGTTTGGGTGAACTATTAAATAGTTTAAGAGCTTATTCGTGGTCAAAGGATTCTGGTAACACCAGCGTCTCTGTATATCCACAGTCCATGACGAGAGCAGACTGGATGCCCAGAGTCATGACAGACATCAGATGACTCGGAGCAAACATGACCGATGGGACCTGCAACAGAAAGCACTTTTAACACTGCAAGAGATTTATAAGTGTCTTTCAGCAGACAGGACTGTTTTACATTATGCACACATGAGCATTTATTTAAATGCCTTCTATTAGTTAATTAGGCCTCTTTCATCTTCTTTATTATTTACTGTGAAACTGCTTTGGATGAGTATGATCATATACTAAACCGCTGAGATATGAGGACACAGACGCAGCATGACTTCACCTCAAAGTGCTTAAAGAAGACTCTGGAGAGCGTCTCTCTGAAGTGTGAAGGACAGAGGATGGATTCAACGATCACCACGCGCCGGTCTCGAGGATTCACCAGCAGATGCCTGAAGGAGGAACAGCATCATGAGTTCAGCTGCGATGAGGAAACACAAACCGCTCTGAAACGGAGAATAAAAGCGTCTCTGCTACCGGAAGTACAGCAGGTGAACGAACTCCTTCAGGATGCTGTAGAGCTCCTCGGTGTTGATGTTGTACTGGACGACTCGAACCACCTGTGACAGCGAGAGACGCTCATTTAATAATAATTCTCTAATTATATTCAGGTCTGAATTATTAAATCAACCACTGGTTTAGGGTTTATAGTGATAATATTATACTGCGGTTTAAACCATTTGTAAAAGAAAGACGCAGCAAATGTCAGTTAAATATGATCATGTTAATTGATTATTGTGATTAGAAAGAGATCATTCCCGTAAGAGCATGAGACCGCTCTCAGACCGACCTCCGGAGATCCGGCGCGTTTAATTTCACTGGGAATGACGAATCTCGGCCCCGTCTCGCCGGCAAAACCACATCTACACAACAGAGCAAACCAGACCATCATCCATCAGAACAGCCAGCATCAGCACGAGCGGCACAGGAGAAATATCGGTGCTTCACATTATATGATATATAAGGATTATTTGTAAAACAAAAAAAACATTTTTTTTTTTTATATTTCAGCATACATCAGCATAAAGGCTTTTTAGGACCATAAAGATTATTATATAGGCCTACACACTACCGGTCAAAAGTTTGGGATCAGAACGATTTTTAATGTTTTTACAGGAGTCTCTTCTGCTCATCAAGGCTGCATTTATTTGATCAAAAATACAGG